GTTCTTTGCAGAATAGGTTTAGTCCACAAAGGGCAGCCACCTGTAGCAGCGCCCAGGGAGCTGGGGGTTAGGAGCCTTGCTCAAAGACCTGCAGATGTGCTGAGGCTGGGTTTGAATCAGTGACCTTGTGATTACAGGTACACAGCCTTAGCCCACTGAGCCACACGCTGCCCCCTGTAACACTAAGAAATACCTTAAAGAAATGTATGGTACAGGCAGTAAAATGAATGCCTTTAGTTGAAATATGTTCTATTATTACTATTTGCCCTGTTAGCTAAAAGAACACTGAAAACTGATCATAATGTTCAGTTTGATGGAAACTTAAATGGACACACAATCACAAAAAGCCTTGGGTAGAGCTTCACTTCAAATCGTGGCAATGAGTATTTCAAACCAACAAGTATTACTATAGCTGTATACATGCTTTAGTGCCTAACTGTAACAAACTGATGCATTATTAATGACTGGATAAACATTAAGTAATGAGTAAATATAAACAAGTTTACAATGGCTACCAGCTGACTACAGGAAATACAGACATAACGGCAATATAATTTTGATTTGTGAATATCATGTTCTGACTAAGTCAGAACCAAATTCTTGTGTGATATTGTACATTAAATTATCTGGAAACTACTGACTTTCTGAATTATATGTACACATAGCCCATACGCATTATACAATAGTGTAGTTTAAAAAAAAAATCCTGTAAACATTTTCCAAAACATTTTGCACTGCTGTCTTTCATAGCAGATTACACAGTGAAGGTGCAAGGCAGTGCAAGTGTATGGCATATTGGTGTATACCACAAAGGCAAGGATTATCCTACATGCAGTAAGCTGCAATTACAATGAATCAATATAGCTTTAGAGCAGGAAAATGCAAGCAATACTAAACAGAGTATGTCTGCAAAATCAATAATGTACACTCACAAGTGGTATAACAAGTGAAATTAACATTAAATCAATCCAGTAACAAAAATGTATATTAAAAGTGGTTTTCCAGCTGATAACATTTCATATACAATACATTCAGTATAAAAAGAGTGAGCTATTCATAAAAATATTTAAGGTATCGTTTCACAAATGTTGGGGAAAAATACAGATCAAAATAGTCTCTATATAAAATGTTCATGAAACTTCAAGCATAATTTACTTATAAAGTACACAGGATAGTCCATAACATCAGATTTATAAAGTCTTATTTTTAGATTAATATATTACAATATAAGGCAGTTGTTACAAAAGTAAATCACTGAATTTCTTTAAATCATATTTCTTTCTAATGGTTTGAACACACTTACAGAAACAAAACCAGCCTAAATCCTATAACTGAGAGCCATAAAACGGCTAGCTCTTCTTGTTTGGTACCGTGTTGTACAGCAGCCAACAAGGTCAGACTGTATTAAAGCCACTGAGCATAGGGTAGTCTGAGCCTAAGGAGAATTGCTGGGTCCAGTCCACCACCACAGGCTTGCAGAGTCCACAGCAGCGCAGCTGGAAGAAGTTTACTAGGTTCCGGACAAAACCCAAACTGAAACAAGTAGAGGAGAATTATTTATGTAAGATTGCATTGGACCTCAGTCTTACTATGTACTTCACAAACCTATACTGTTTTCAAATAAATCTGCATCGTGTAGTTCTGGAGTACTTTTATCCAGCAGATTTTCTATCCTACCTGGTCTCTGACACAATGAATCCATAAACAAATAAATTTCAATGACTTAAAAAAAGAGCTTACTTGTATGGATTTTGTCTCAAAGAAACAGATTGTGGTAGCTTTCTCCTTCGTTGCATGAGGTAAATTCTCTCTGGGGTGGTAAGACCATAGACGGCAATCTGTCCACAAAACGGTAAGAGTAAATGAATTATAGCACTCTGTACAACATATGATCAAATTCAGCACTTGAAAGCTAGAATCCACTGTGTGTGTGCGTTATGTACATATTACATTGTGGGGACCACAACCTGTTATTTTGACGTTGTGGAGACCTTTTTTTCCGTCCCCATGAGGGGAAACTCAGTTCTATGAAAATCTGTGACTAATCAAAAAAACTAAAAATGCCATAAGTCTTGTATTTTGTTTGGTTACTTATGCTTAAGGTTAGGGCTCGGTAGGGGTTAAACTTGGCAATTAGTTTTTATAGAAATGAATGGATGCTCCCCACAAAGATATGAATACAAACCTGTGTCTGTATTAATGTATATTATATTGTATTGTATTATATTATACAGTGGTACCTCAGTTCTCAAACTCATTAGAACTCGAATTTCTTAAAAGTCGACCTAACCAGTTAGAAAAAAAAATTACCTAGAGCTCGATCTGAATCAAACCGTGAACGCCGACCGAAGATAACTTGTATGCACGGGAAAATGAGTCACGCAGCACGTCTCTCAGCGGAAACAAAGGGTAACGCTTCAGTCTCATCCTTGCATTGGCAAACATCGTGCATGTTTACACTAGCTGAATACATATAGACAGTAAAAATACATTTAGACAATGAGACAGTAACAGTAATTATTATATAATAAAATACATGTAAAAATAGATTTCTTATTCATTATTTTAATATTAATAATAAACCATGAATACATTTAATTATAATAATATTGTCGTGCCGAGCGGGGACGGAAAGGAGACAAAGGCGCAGACGTCAGGGTATCGGGGAATACGGGGTTTAATTACAGGTAAGTCAGGCAAAACGCAGACGGACAATACAATGACCGAACTGGAGAAACAAACTGAAACGCGGACTAAATACAGAGGGCTAATGACAACAACCAGAAACAGCTGATGACACGGGGCGTGGCACACGGAAGGAGCGGACGATCGGGGTAGGACACATTGTTTTGTTTTTTTTTTTAACTTTACACATTGTTTGGATACATTTATTTTCTTACTTTACAAATTGCTGTTTTGATAAATGTGCTTAGATGTGTTAAGTACAGTATATGCTCTTCTTGTTTTATCCGGTTCATTTTGTGTTTAAATGCTAAAAAAAAAAAAAAACATATTTAAGTGTATTGTTTTGGGACTGGGAACCAATTAATTGGTTTTCCATTATTTCTTATGGGGAAAATTCGATCAGAACTCGAACTTTTTAGGATTCGACCTGGAGTTCTGAACGGATTAAGTTCGAGTTTCGAGGTCCCACTGTATTAATATAACATATTATAAAAAAAAACAAGTTCCAGTCATGCAGAAACCTTACCCATACATATTTAGCTTATGTGAAGTGAAATACAGGTCAGGAAAGTTTGAAGTCAAAGAGCAGGATCATCTAGTAACCTGGAGCACTTGGGCTTAAGAACCAAGCTGTACCACAAATTGACAGTTTTCCAGTGTAAATTATGCAAGCTGTACCCGACTTCTACCAGCGCTGAGATGGACCTGCTTACTAGCAAGGCCAAAGCTGGTAGCAGCACCATCATCTGATTGGCCAAAATGCACAGAGATACCAGAGATCTATGTGGATACGCATGGATTGTCTAAAGAAAAAAAGGACATATTCTATATATTAATTATTAGTAGTATCGCACATCATAATGCATCATATTAATGCATTTCCGATAGCCTCCTATTGAACAGTAAATTAGCATCTCTGGTTTTACGTCGCCATCATTCTCCAAACCCAGCAACGCTTTTACTGAGCTGACCCTCCTGGAAAGCTGAAGCGAGCTTGAACTGTGCTGTAACTACTTTCTCGTTGCGATACAGCTCGGTTCTTGTAAGCCAGTAGAAAAGTGCCATATGATAACTCAAGTTTCACCCCCATCAACTGCAGTAGCCTCCAGCTGTGACCCAGCTAGCTACAAACAGCCTATTTTCTCAGTAAAAAGAAACTGTCCACTTTTGTTACTTGAGTAACATTTTCATGTGGTATCTGTACTTTTATTTAAGCATGAGAACTGGGTACTTTTTCTACTAGTGAAAACTGGCATCATTAGACTGTTGTGAGAGGATTAAGACCAGACAGTCCCAGAGGCACAAACTACCAGCTGTTAACACCTGAGATGTACCATCCCTTCCTAACTGGTGCTCTTTCTCCTGACTGGTGGGCTGATGAATCAGTTCAACCAAAAGAATATTTTATACTGCACAAACACATAGGGGGAAAAAGTCAGAAAGGACACAAGGCACAATATGCCCAGACATACAGACCTTTCTGGCATGTGTCTTTCCTATATGTAACATTCCTATACATAAAGACAATGCTGGGTGAATTGAAACCAATCAACTGATAAGATTACGACCCGCAGGACAAGTTTTTCTACATTAGCATACCTGATAGAGTTGCATCATAAGAATGGCGGAGGACCAGGAGGTATGGAAGAAAGTGAGGGCAAACATGTAGAGGAGCCAGGGAGAGCAGCTAGCCAACGCTGTCAGCACTCCCCATGCCCCTCCTTCAGTATAGTTCAGCTGGCAACTCTTGGACCAGTCTGAAGCACAGAAGAATAAGGATTATCCTAGGATACCTTCAGTCAAACAATGATGGGTTAATTACTGTTACTGTTTCACATCTATAAGAAAAATATGGTTTTGGAAATGAATGGATAGATGGAAAGTTTGGATTTTATACTTACATATGAGGCTCCCATACAATATCCAGCAGAAGAAGAGACAAAGAAAAAAGAGGAACAGAACAAAATAGGAATGATTCCTGGCCCCTGCACAAAGAACATTATTATTAACAACACTGTCAGCAAAGGAATTGTCTGCTCAAAACCCACTTATGGTTTACCCACAATACAGCTTCTTCTCAATTATTTAATTATCATCTTCCTCCTCAAAACATCAGCTTAATGTTTATCTGACCAACACTGCTTAGCAGACAGAATTACAATAGTTACCTATGCAGCCATTGATCCACACAGAGTGGTGGTCTTGCTTGGCGATGCAGGAATCACAAGAGAAGCAGTGATTGGCTCGAATCGGCTTCTGCATCTGTACCACAGAGTAAACAATCATTCTAGGTCTTCTTGAAAAAAAGCTCAATTTTTTTTGAAGAACATTACTGAAAAGAATGAGGCCCTGTTTAGCTTACACTGTCCTTCAATATGAATTACTCACCATACAGGAGGTGCAGAAAACTCTAGGATCCAGATAGCCTGCCTCTGCCAGCATTATCACATTCTAGGGAAGGAGAGAACCGTCAACTTCACTGCCAAACAGCTAGTAAACAGTCCACCAAGCATTCCTGTGCAAATTTGGTCTATTTTTACATATTAAGACTTTTTCCTTTTTTTCCAGCCCCAAACATTTCAGCATTTCATTTTTTTCGCTTATATATTTCCAAATACCTGAAATACATCCTGTATTTCGTACCAAAGCACCATCTGAACTGCTACATGACATCCCTTAAACAACTTCATAGGTTGTTAGCAACAAGTCTGACCCAATCCAAAAAAGGGTCTCTCTAAAATTCTGTATCAGAGTTCAAAGACATTTAGGTATACTGTTCAGTGCCCTTCTGCTACTAAAATAAACTATTCGTTGTTATTTGTGTGACATTGCGAGGTAAAAATGGCTGAGGCATTCACTCTTTTCTGTGGCAGCACCTTCTTTCTCTCCTCCTCAGGGGTTTTGATGTACCCAGGGTCCGTCCTGCAGCTTCTATAGTAATAGTAGAACAAGCCAGCAGCATTCAGGCTGAAAAGTATCTTCACTGTAGCAGTCGGCTGCCATGGTATCTGGAGTTAAGGACCTATCACAGTAATACCACTAAACATCATCAGCCTTTGTAGCAGTACAATGAGAAGGGGGGCTGTCAGAATGACACATTGTATTCCCAGGAGAACCCCGTCCCCTGGTCTGCCCATCTAATTTGTACTCCTCCCATACTCACCAACCGATACAATGCTTAGATGTACTGGATTAATCGGAAATGTTAAAGTTGTATTTTACATAAATCTGACACTACACCTACTCATTTATTGCACGCTCCACTTAAACGCCAATCTGCAGAATCCTTTCCCATTGCAGAATGGTCGGCTTGGTGAAGGTGTTGCCGAGTTTGAGGAGAGACGGTGACATAACACCAAACAGACGGTTATTTACTGTTCACAGAGTGTACATCATGATTTACTATCTGCATTTATTATTTTTTTTACTGTGTGCTAATTTCCGCTAGCACATCTGTGTGAATCACCGTGTAATGCAAGTATCAAATGCATTCGCTTGTCTAAATTTGCATTACGAATCCATTCTGTTCAGCTGTTCTATAGTACTTTAAGTAAGAGGTTGGAAATTTTCAAGTTGCGAATTTTCGGGAATTGTGATCTGTGATATTACTAATAATGAATAATACATAGAATATATGCTTTTTCCTTCAGATAATCAATGTGCAGAACACAGTGGTGATGCAGCCAGCTTGGTTTAGTCATGCTACCGGCCCTTACATAAGCAGGGCCATGTTAGCGTGTTTATGGCTTGGGTACGGCTTACATACTTTGCAATGGAAAAGTGCCAGTTAGCGCTATGGGTTGGGTAGGGCTCGGTTTCTGGTGGCAGTGGAAAAGTGCCATACGTGTTTTCTACAGCTGCAGTTTCCTTCCTTTGCTGCCACATTTTTGGGGACATATTTCAGAAAATGAAATCAGGTGTAGATCTTCATCCATTTAATGTTTCTGTGAAGCAGAAATATGATCCATCAAATACTCTGACTTGACTCTCACCCTCCCTTTGCTGCCCCTAAGTGGAACTGTATGGCATCACATTTATGTCAAAAGTTGCAAGCATGATAAAACAAAATAAGTAAAATATATTATTTTACACATGTGCATACATACTGCCCACTCGCAAGATATAGGTCCTTTGTGCACAAATTCAACCCAGGCAGTGATAGCAAGGTGATCTCTTGAAGTTGAGTTCTGCTCATGTGAATCAACCTGACTTTTGACAATTTGGGGGGCGGAAAGCAAGGGAGACCCTGGCCTTCTTATGATTATTCACTTTCAACATGATTACACCCATACAGACCTCCATGTCTCTTGATTGACAGTGTCCCTTAACTGAATAACTGGCATACAGTTTGGCCAGAGGTCATCCAGATCAGCACTCCTTTTCAGAAAGTGGTGGTTGTGCACCAAATATTGCTTTTCCAAAAAAAGGAATAAAAGGTTTGGCCAGAGGCTAGTTATTTCTAACATCTGAGCCCTGACAGCAAACACAGTGAAAACACAGTGGAGGCACAATGACCACAACATCTGAAGATTTACATGCAAGTAATACTTATAGATGGCTTCGTCTAACAACCTAGCAATTTACTTACTGTGAAATTTGGTTGGAACTAGAGATGAAATGGTATGAAAATTTAAAATTACGATTACAGTAACCAAAATTATCAGTTACCATTACATATTATTGAAATATTGTTCAAATGTGCTGAAAATATTCAAAAAGTACTGACACACAACTACATCTGCATGACATATCACAATGTACTTGCCATTATATGGGGAAGTGCAATAATCACTAGGGATTTAGATAACGGGCAAAACATTTGTCTGGATGCGAGCTTTTTGGTACTATAAGGACGTTTACTTACGGCAACAATTTGATAAGTAGATTAGTAATATACCTAAAATATTAATGAGTACTGCGATGCCAATAAGTTAGTAATCTGTATAAATTTTGCATATCCTTATGTTTATGAAATGCGGTTAGCGGAACATGCCACATGTTTCCTTTTCGGTATATCATGGAAGAGAGAAACACTGAGATAAACAGTGATGAAAGGGACAGCTCAGCAGCCATTACATCTTATGAAAGAGGAGATATCATGGATAAACAAGGTACTGTGGTAGTACTTGTTCCAATTTAAAGTCCCAGAAGTTCATTAAACATAAGCATATGCCACATTTATACAGGTCACTAATATTTTAGGTGCACTACTAATTTGCTTAAAAGTAAAATTTTCGTATAGTACTGGAAAGCTGGCATTCAGATAAATGTTTTGCCCATCATCTAAAGCCCTGGTGATTATTGCACATGCGCCATATAATCGCGAGTACATGGAGATGTGATGTCAAGCAGCCCTACACAAAGCTGAAATAAATTTCACGAAATTTTATATTAAAAACAATGACTTTAATTAGCAGCGCTATGTGCTGTGTCTGCATGAACATTAGAATAATGAGTCAATGCCTTATGTAAACATATGAAAACCATATCAAACGTGAATTAAAATTAAAAACCTCCATTGCGCTATACTTGCCTTCCGCCATGTTTTCACTAACACAAAACAAACCCACGTTGCATGAGGCACCTTTACACCTGCGTCTGAAGGACTGTAGCTTACTTTGGTTTAGATACGGAGTTGTGGGTCAGCTGTCTGTACTACTCTCGAATGTTGAATTTCTGTGTGAGAGTTGCATTTGTGCACGAAGGACATACATCTTGCAAGTGGGCAGTTAATATTATTTCACATGCGCAGGTATTATTTATTGGCGAGTACATTTTATTGCGCTTGCAACTTCTAACATAAATGTGACGCCATAGCACTGCTTCAACTTCGAGGGCGCCTTGCAAACTCAATACATACCTGAACACTTCTGTTTGTTGTTTAACCTTTTTGGTGAAGAGATTATTAGACAGGAAAAAAAATATGTAAATAATAAACAAACAATTTAGATTTGTGAACTCCAGAATACAATTAGTCTGAACATAAGTGCCACGATGAGGGCTGATAAAACCATAAAACATCATGAAGGATATCAGGCATGAGCCAGAAGCACCATGTGAACAGCATCAAGAAGACAGAGGCCATCAGGAAGGTGGCTGGAAGAAGCTTATTGACATCTGGGCCCACTATAAATCTGCATGTGAACACATACAAAAACACACCAAAAAGAGAAGCAGAATAAGCAACACTAGATAAATCGGAATATTCCTCCTTTCACAGTCATGAAAGCCACTTGATGGGATTCACTACATTGCATTTTAATGTGAGATTAGTGTAACATCTTTTAAAAACATGTATTTTAAAAACATGTATTTTCAGGACATAAGAGGTTTCACAAAACAGGCAACCACTGTAAGGATGTTTGATTTTGATCTTTGAAGTAACATATCCAGTTACTTTAACATGTCCAGTTACTTTGGCACCCCTTGTACCAAAGTTGAATGGCATACATCACAGTTCAGACAGAAGCTCAAATCATTTGGTTATTGAGCAATCAATTGAAAATAAATGATAGACAAATTATTCTATAAAGCCTGGCTGTTTACTTTCCAACCAGCTTCTATGCATTTTTTTAAATGCCCTTTTCGGAGGACAACTTTATTTTTTAATTAGCTGAACAACAGAGCAACACATTAAGTGAAGCCACTTCCAATCAGCCCATCCCTGCCCATTCTATGCATTATTGATGCAGTACAGGCAACATGCATCTATTTCACAGCTGCATAATGTGATGAGGCCTTTTGGGAGAGAACTTAAGAAAATTGCCGTAAGCAAAATGTAAGTTATTTTCATGTAACCAGTCATTCATTTCCATTGCTTTGCATTCAGAGACCAGAAGGGAGCTGATCTCCTGGACTTTTAGGGTTTTACAACACCACTCAATGGACCTTCCTTCATCATGTCCAAAAGAACAGGATGAAAAGACTGGGCTTAGACTGAATTCAAATATACCCGCCAAAGTAAGAACCGCTTAAGTATTTTCTGTATATGATGTGTGCTTTAAGAGTTTTCCTTTTCCATATGACATTCATTCATTCATTCATTCATTCATTCATTCATTGTTCAAAACCACCAAGTCTGGAGAACATCTCACGCGGCAGCAGACATTACGCTGGGTTCAATCTAGAAGTTTGCGTCTTGTGACAAACTGACATCCCACATGTGGGATAAAATTAGAGAAATTTAGTGATACCAGTTCACCTAAACGGCTTGTCTGTACACTGCAGGATGAGACTGGAGTACGTAGAACAAATCTACACAAACACAAGGAGAACACAGATTGTTCTACACATTGGGGAACCATCCCACCCGCATAAGACACATTATCTCCATAAACTGCTACTCTTTTTTCCTGTAAATCATACCATTATTATTTTTCTCTATTACACCTCACATTTATTATATTGCATTCAGTAAGATACTGTTATGAAGTCACCAGATAAAACAGGGATTCCGCTGGGACAAAACATTTTATTGCTCCTATGCCTGCATGTACTTCAGCTTGACACAGTCTTTGACAAATAAAAGGCTAATTAAAAATAATGAATTTAAGCACTGTCAAATCAAACTATGTTCCTCTTGGTAGTATTTTATTACCTTACCTTTTCTAAGTGTAAATGTCTTTGTACTCATTTTTGTTTACCTATAGGTGAAGTGTGTATAAAACACTATGGTGAATGGTTCCATTACACGCCAAACGACTCGAACAAAAACAGCTTTTTCACATACATACAACTGCATTACACTTAACACTGCAGCCAGACAGGTGCAGACAACACTGCTAGAGTGTGATGCTTTACATACAGGAATCAGCTGCAGACCTTCTTACCGGATGATGAGGTTGACCATTCCCAGCACGCTGGCCAGCAGAACCCCCTTCAGCAGCCACGACTCAGAGTTTAGGTCAGTGATAGCACCCACGGCCCACAGCACTGCTGTACAGAACACCAACAGCAGGTGGAACTGGGAAATAAGGCAGCACGTACTGTCAGAATACTGTGTATGGCAGGCAGCCTAAGAGCACAACAGTAGTGACATGGGCAAATCGACATTCACACACAAAGGAGTAACTCATTTTATATTCACAGTAACAAACTGTATCAGGAAGAGCATAATACAGGTCTGGTGTGTCAGTCAGTTAAAGCACAGATGTTTTGGCTGAAAAGGAGACTTACCCTGTATCTCTTGACTATGTGGAAGAAGGTGGAATTGGCCTTCATCCTTTCCTGCTTAACATGATTCAACATGTGCACCAATAGGGGGCTGTGCACCTGATTTGCAAGATCGATGGGAGTCTGTCCCTAAAACATGCACAGACCAGCATACATGAGAGAAATAAGCCACCCAAATAAGCCACAAAGGAGTGTCTGGAGATCTCACGCTCCCTATGCGGGCTTCCTCTGGATTATCCGTTAAATAAGCCACAATTGAGTGCCTGGAGATCACATACACCCTTTGTGGCCATCGATGAGTATCTGGATACTCTGTTTCCCTCACGCAGTCCAAAAACATGCCATTGTGATAACCACCATCTCTAATTTGCTGTATTGTTTATGGTATATGCATGTATACGCCCTAGGATGGACTAGCGTCCTCTGGGCTACGCCACAGACCCCCCCTGGGCAAGTGGGTGAAAGATGGAAGCTACAAAACATGAATACACGACCCAATTATTAAGATGATCAATATGCTATTGTATTTGTTAAACAATAATTATCACAGCTACTAAAATATGAACCATCAGTAGTAACACAGCACATATGGCTACTGAAAAGAAAATTTGTGGTCACCTTGGCGTTCTGCAGATCCACGCTGGCTCCAGCCTCCAGCAGGATGTGGACTGCATCTACGTTGCCAGCCAGAATAGCGCAGTGCAGCGGGGAGTTTCTGTTCATCTTGTCCACCGCACTTACTGATGCATTACATTTGATGAGAAAGTTTGTGGGCTCTGGCCTACATGCAAATCACAAAACAGATTTATGTGAGTAACAGTTCATGCCCAGGTTCACAAAACATTACAAGTGCACTCTGATTCAACTGAATTAGATATGGTACCTTACTACCTTTCACAATACAGTTACCCTGAGGCACTTAACAAGAGTGTGTGACATATTAGGTCCTGGATACTAAATTGTTCATGATAGAAGAGAAAAAGCAAAAACAAAAAAAGATAAGGAAAGGATTTAATTTTGCTTTAGATTTCATTTAACACCACAATACTTACCCAATAATTTTCTGGGCCGCTAACATCAGTGGAGTTTGACCATTGAGATCTGGACAATCAACTTCCTACAATTGTAAATGATTTAACACTTCAGTCTACAAGCATTGTTCCAAAAATGCCTTCACACTAGAACCAGGCACATGCACCATATTTTAGATGGGTTCTATGATCTTTTGAGTTTTTTTTATATTTACATGGCACATAAAATCAATTTTGCATTTTGCAATATTGCATTGCTGAAAACAAACAAGCAACTAGTGGTAGAAGTGTGGCTCAACACTATTCTCACTCAAATCCACATCCCTAAACATTCTCACTGTTTATACAAGGACAAATGAACATGTCCTACAGAATTCAATCTGAGTAGAACACCAGCAAAACAATTCATTTAATCTAAACTGTTAATTTATTCAGATTTTAATAAGAGGGAAAATGAACTGTTAATAAAATGCAGGGCATACTGGCGCTATAACCTGTGAGTAAAGAACAAACACAGTCTAAACTGTCTGCCACTGCACACACACCTGTCCCTTGGCCATCAGGTAGGCAGCAATGGGCATGTGCTGGAAGAGTACAGCTAGATGGAGGCTACAGAAGCCCTCTCCATCAGACAGTGATGGGTCAGCCCCATGCCGCATTAAGAGGATCACCATGGGGAGGTGGCCCTGCCTGCAAGTGGATCCATGCATCCCAGGCACATGCAGAAATACATAAGGCAAAGACAAGGAAGAGGCAAAAGTCAAAATCTCCATCTAAACACCCCTCCCCTCACCCAAGAAATTCTATGTGCTTTGATACAATTCTTTTATCAACAATCAAATAAGACAGACAAGTACCTCCAAGTACACTTGGGCAATAAAACACAGTTACCTTATGGCCCAATGCAGGGGTGTTGAATTAAGATCACCTCCTAACTGGTCAACAATGGCACCTTTAGAAATGTAATACCTTGAGAAAAAGCACAAAGTGAATAACAATAATAAAAAAAAAAACCTTAAAAAGGCCTTACAATGCACCAAGCCATCTCTCTGTCTTCTAACTGATTATTTTGATCTGGGGCTCAGGGACCTAAAATCTGTAGGCCTTAAAACATTCATATATATTTATATTCAAATTCATATATAAATGTCCATTAAGGTGTCTCTCGTGTTGTATCACTGAAAGATCAACACAGCATTTCATCGAAAGCATCATATTTCAGGTAGTGTTGTTCCTAAAAATCACTGAGCGTGAAGAAAATATTTAGGCAGGTAAACAAGCTTGAATTGAATGAAAAATAAAACACAGCATACATTTAAAAACTTTGTAGTGGAACTGAGTCTTACTTGACAATCTCAGCCCTGTTGTTGATGGCAGCCCAATGCAACAGAGTGACATTCTCCTTGTCTGGCTGCCGTACATCATATCCTGCATCAACTAGCTCCTTACATCGGTCCAGGATGCCAAACCTAGATACAGATGACCAATTAATTACTGCACATGAGGAGCAGGGGGACCTTGTTTTTATATTATTGCAGCTGAATTAATGACTATGATGAAGTGCCTCTGAAACGTAACTCACTCAAAAACAAGTTCAGTATGCAAGGAAGAGATGAACAGTCAAGCTTAAGCACAAAATAAATTTACAAGAAACATGGACTTAATACCTTTAAAAATAAATGGAGAGATTAATTTTCATTTGAACAGGTATTGTATACTCATACCAAGTAATTTGAGGATACCTTTTTTTACTCTATAGTGAAAACTATGCTGTTGAGTATCATCTAGTCCTTAGTCAATTTTTCATTGCAATGAAAGGAAAATTTAAAATTAATTAATTAGGTCTGTATAGTAAAATATATCAACACTCTATAAAAGTGAATGGATCTTACTGAGTGGCCTTTACAATGTCCCAGCTACTGCTGTCATCCAGATGCGGTCGCCTTTTCGGTTGCTTTGTGGGGTCCATTGTAATGTCAGGCCCTGGCCCAAACTGTGTGCTCATTCCAGACATGAAGCCATGTACCATTGCGTTGTGCCCATGCCACTGTCCGTGCCCATGCCCGTGCGCCCCAAGTCCCTGACAGTGGGCACCATGTTCTTGGAATTCACTGCCCAATTGATTCTGAGTGGAACACTGCAAATTTCAAAGCATATGTAAATAGACATATTTATTGAATTATTCATTCACATAAATAACTCCATTATGCAGATGCCTATGATATACAACGTTACATCGTCTTTATTCCTAAACAATGTTATCCATCTTAGGGCAAAATAAAGTCTTACTCGTCTATATGCATCAATGCCGAGTGAATATGTGATACATATTTTTTTTATCAGGCTTTTTACTTTATCTACACTACAATAACTACAATAAAGGACAAATCATTGCTAATATTTAAACTTAAGAACCACTTTTGGAGACTGACGCCACGGAAAACTCTCCGTTGACAAAAATACGTTGAAAACCCTGGTGTGGGTGCTACTCATTTAGCCACATGATTTCTGGTATCTAATTTCTTAGTTTATACCAAACATTAATGGAAAAAATAGTCCACGAAGTGACAAAAGTAAGCTTATCCCCGTGCTGGAACGAGTAATTTAATAATAAGACACAGTAGAGATATCTTTAAAAATCGGATAATTAACCACTTTACTAAACCACACTGACACGTACATGCGACTTGCCTTAAACTTACTGCCAGTTACTCTGCTGCTAGCCTGCAGCTAGCTAAACAGACAAAGAGCTGGTCAGGCAGCTTCAGAAACACATGAAAATAACACAGAACGAGCTACATTTTTTTCCAGATTAAGCTGATGGAAAAATATGTGCTCCACCTTACTTCATTTTGTCCATTCCAGTCCATAATGTTGTATATACAGAAGAAAAACTAAAGCCTTTCTCCACCGAAGCGTCTTCTTCCGTACTTCACAACTTCCTAGAGACGAGCCACACAAGATGGGAGCCCATTGGTCAGTTATGTCTTATCCCCGCCCAGGACACGTCTGTTAAGTTACTGTTAAGTTAACAGCGTAATATAAAATAGAAAACGGGTTGTAACATAAAATACTAATTAATTCCATATAAATTCCCTTAAAATGACAAATAAAGGTTGTGCCATGAAATGAGTACTTTACTGTACAATTACGTCTGTAATATGAAATATTTATTCTAAAAATCCCTTGAAATGCTGTCTAAATAAATGTTTCGCCATGATATTAATATTTTATTGTGAAATTAACAGTCTAATGTAATTATTTCACTTCTAATTTGTATGAAAAACAGTTTTGCAATTAAACAAAGTGGCTCACTGTGAATTGGGTTATACTACCAATAAAATCTGCAATCTAAAATCTTAATACATTAAACAAATAGCACAACAAATACTCAATGCCACTTAACAGAGAAATTCTGTCAGCTATGCTTGTCATACACAGTATATTACTCAAAACATCCTTTAGTCAAGCCTGTACATAGGAGTACTAACCCAGTAGCTGGAAAATTGTATGAAAATGACAATTGTTCATTAAAGAGTTTAAACCGGACCCCGTGATTCTGACGGATCACCTGTGGTGGGCTAATCTTTCGCACTCCAGCACAGAAGTTAGGTTCAGGTAGCAGAGGCCAGCATAAATACTCCTGTCTCCTTTTCAAACTGTGACATCACAAGGACCAAGACAGACTGCTGGATTCAAACCCGAGTGAAACGGGGTTTGAATCCGTTGAAAACGTTGCGCTAAAACATTTGTTCCATCATAGGAAACAGAATTCATAAACTGGGCACTTCTGTACACCCTGCAGTTCTGTAGGAGCCTCCAGCCTCTGCCCATGAGGATGTGACTGATCTCCTTCACCGCACCATCAGTATTGGAGTACCAAGTCCAACAATGCGGCTCAGGGCATTGGAACCAGGATCCAGCAACCTGCAGCCCCTGACCTTTCGCAAAGTCGAGGAACATGGAGCCACTGTCACCCTAGTCTCCAGACCCATAGGGACTGACACAATCCTCATAGTCAGTTGATGGGTGCCCCCTGTCAGTGCCTGTGGTGGCATTGAAGTCACCCATGACCAAAGTAGTGTCACCTTGTGGGCACCCATCAACCACCTAGTGAAATTGCAAGCAAAATGTCTTCCTCAAAGAGACATTACTCACCGCGATCAGAGCATACACTGAGACAACAGACAAGACACCCAAGGAGTGCCTGAGTCTCATAATACACTCCTTGAAAGGAGTGACATCAGACACCATTGGGAGAAGCCGATCCGACAGAGCAATAGGTATTCCCTGAGTATAGCAGCCATCAGAGCGACCAGACCAAAAGTAGCTGTACCCACCTGCAGAGATCTGTCCACTCCCTGGTCTGTGTACCTATGATGGGTGCTGGAACCAGGATCCAGCAATCCACAGCCCCTGACCTTTTGCAAAGTCAAGGAATATTGTCCTCCTTTCACCCTGTTGAAATAAATAAATATAAATATATGATAACGTTAGAATTAATAGAAGCAAACTCTCAGGGTCTGCACATGCATTTACATGTATATAACACTTTTATTACCTTGTAAATAGTCTGCAGGGTTTGCAAACAAGCCTACGCTTTTGATGTAGCTAATTTTAGGTGTAATGGAATAATATAGATTTGCTGTAAGAATTCCTGAATGAGCATGAGAATCTGAAACCATGAGTGTCACACCAGATGTGTGTAAGCTGGCAACCCTGCATTGTTTCTTTAAGTGTGTATTTGTTTACATTATTTTATTTAGTTGAAAAGAGTTTATAGCCACTGAACACAAGCTGCTACATTTAATTCAGTTCATTGAAAGTATACTGCCATTAACTTATATGATGAATGTTTTTATTTTAAAATAAGGGTTTCACTAACATTGCCAAGACTGACTGATGTGACATTTCATCACTGAAAGCCAATGGGGACTTTAAATGAACCAAGTATTTAAAACAATGTCTAGGAATTTGGGGATGCTTTCCACTCCAGATATTTTTGTCATAGATTTTATTTCATGTATTATATTTTTCTTATAACTTAGTCTTTATCTTTTCCTTTTATTTGGATGTTTGCCTGGAATGCCATTTCTTCTATTCATTTATTTTATTCATCTATTGGTTCTGTGCTGCCTGACTTGAACAGCATTATGGGGTGGGGGGAAAACAAAAACAAATATGCAAATTCGTTAGGCCTACTTAGCATTGGCCAAATGTTAGGTGAAGAAGAAACCTTCCGCAAGAAGGAGTGAAAATCTTAGGGATCACACATAAGAATGGTAAACCTTCTCTCTACTATAAGTCGCTTTGGATGAAAGCGTCAGCTAAGTGAATAAAATGTAAAGTACATTTTTATTACGAACAGAACGACGTACGTGCCACTGTTATCTGTCACAGCGTCAGCAGCTGTGTGCGTCCGTTCAGTTTCGAAGGCTCGGCTCCTATTCGCCACCTCCACCGCTACAACCACGCCTCATTTGCCTTTCTTACGCCCTAAATCACGGTCGTAAATTATGGGGGGGGGGG